ATAACAATTCTTACAAGTCACCTGTCTAACTATACTTGTCAAACAATTTTTACCTGAAACAATGCCTCCTTCCTGAAATACCGGGTCATTATAGGATTGTTGTTTACTCTTATGACAACCTTAAGTCCCAGGTTAGGGTCAACGGGTTCTGGAACCCTCCTTGCCCTTTCCCTTCTGATTTCCTCCTGTCAAAATGGTGAGTACATTAGTCAAGTCATGATAACATTCCCAAGGACTGACCCGAGCCGGACAATGCTTGTCAGCAAACCTTTGAACTTATTTTTCCCAACTAATTTTTCTTTTACAATTATTAATATTCGTAAAGTTTTGATTTTCAATTGACAATAAAAATATATATAAAAGTGTATTAAGACAATTCATTATTACATTAAAATTACAATAGATGCTTGGTCACAATGATTATTTAAGTAAAATTCCTATGGTAGAAAAATATATTTACATTACATGTATACATGGATTATAACAATGAACAATGTACGAACCTCTGCATCCTTTTGTAATCTCCTCTTGGCCAAATAGCTCCGAAAAAATTGTTGGATCACTACCACGGCTTTTTCTTTCTCATCCTCAGGTCTCTCCTCATCACTTTTCTTTAAGACAAAAGTTTAGACAGATTCATGAGTAGAGACAATAATCAAGAAAACCAATGATATGTTTTATTACAGTGCTTATTGGAAAAATTGGAAAATGTTAACAGAGTTGATAGTGCACCACCATATAACCCGTTATCAAGTTAAGCTGTGGCGATGTGTAAACTTGTCTTCGTGTAATGTCAGACATGCTCTTCGCAACAAAACTTTGAATTATGAAAGCCACATCCTGACTTTTTTTTTTTTCAAATCAGGGTTCACAAATACGCCAGAATTGTTCAGATGAATCCACTGAGGTTACGGAGAGAGTCACTTCAACTTCAGAAATTTTCGGTAACAAACAGGGAGCCACTTTCACTCCAGAAATTTTCGGTAACAAACACAGTTTTGTCCTTACCTTTTTCGCAACAAATACAATTTACCTTAATTTTAAACGTTGTAAACCCTGATTAAATCATCTAAATTAAAGAATTATGCTGCACGACAAAACAGGAAGAGGGTAAATTATGATCAAAGTTTATTACTTCAATTACATCTATCATGGATTTTAG